GGCAGAGTTCACGATCCGACACGAGAGAGAGAGACCGGAGCTAGCCGGCAGGGACCCGGACTCAGCGTAGGACCCCTAGCCCCTGGGAGTTGTGTACCCTGCTGTGTTATTGTTAAGCTTTAATACACCCTCGGCGAAAGCCCATAACTTACCTCCGAGTGCGTCCGTGGGAAGTTCTCTACATAAGTGTTATTTCCTAATTGCTTACACCTCAAGAGTACAGAAAATGGCTGTTATTCCCCACAAACTTAACGTGGCACCATGTGGCACCTAGTGCTTCTCTGTTACAAGTCATGTTCACTTCTGTGTCGACCATGGACGCTGTTTGACCATATTTCATCACGCTTATCAAGTGCCGGATGGTGAAGGCAGGTAGCATAGACGAGGGAGCCTAGACGTACAGTACAATGGATACAATTGATTTTGCTTCACTGCCCGAGGTTTTCCATCACAGCTCAGCAGCCTGAAGCACCGGCTATGCAATCTGGTCATCTTTAGAGATGTGATTAGATTTGGCGAGTGGGTCAAAGTTATTACTGTCTATATATAGAGAGATAATATTCAATTGCCCGGTAATCTAACTCTAGATTTGAAGCTTTCGTGACTGCAAGGATTCATACTGTTAGGTTTTTTCGGTAAAGTCACGTAGGTAAAAAATAAAATTAAAAGTTAATAAAAGTAATAATGGAAATAAAATAAAAAATAAAATAATAAAATCATTTATTATTTACTTTTTATTTTATTTCCATTATTACTTTTATTACCTTTTTATTTTATTTTTTACCTTCGGTAATCTAACGTCACAGTCTCTGTCTAATAAACGGATTCTGTCTGGATTTGTTTTCTGCCGATGTCCCAGCGCTATTAACATCAAATTTAAATCCATGCAAGCTGCGTGCTCCGGTGATGGTATCCCTGCACCTTTGGGCGGGTAAAATCTTTATATTTTATATAAAACCAGGCAAGAACAGTGGACAGGCTCCCACGCCTCCGGTGGCCACAGGCAGGCTTCGTGTGCACAGCGCAGACAGACACGGGCACCAGATTCACGTCTCCAAACCCGTTCTCCCCACCGGTCAGGTTCGTGCTGCATCTCCCGTACCGCTAGAGGGCAACACTCGCAGTGGAAACCCTCGACGGCGTAGGTGGGATTTGTGAAGCGCCTTGGTGTGTCTCTGTGTGTCTGTGTGTGACCGGATCTCCGCACCGGGGTACAGACACACGCGGGGCGGCGGTGATTATCCTGGGAGCGAAGGACATCGGAGCGCGGCTTGTTTTAAAGCTTTGCGCTGGAGGAGTGGAGGAGAGAGGTGAGTGATTTGAACGGGAGAGCCACAGGTAGAGTTTAAGGGGAAGGGCTTGAGCCTGGGACTTGAACAGGAGGATGGTGTCTGCGGTGTGGGCGATTACGGAGAGGGAGTTTAGAGACAGAGAGGGCAGCGAGAGGAGGAAGAGTGGATCCTGACTGGGCTTTGGAGAGTTGATGCCTCCGGCTGCATGGGGCAGCGTGGGCACGGGGGTGGGGACCAGGATCAGAGGGGGGGAGATAGGAGGGGAATGGTTTCTTAAGTATCGTTGCTCGAGTGGTTCGCTCACCTGTGATTTTCAAAATGAGATTTCGCAGTTGCATGGGAGGTTTTCGGCACCGATTATCAGCGGATAAATCAGGTGTGCCAGTCATAGTTTGGTGTGAAGAATTATTAACCTGATCAGTAATTTTTAATTGGTATTTTATAGAATTACTCAACTGGATATAGTTAAGCCAGTTTCCCGGCTATTTTTCAACAAAAACAAAAGACGAAGCATAATTATTGCAAAGTACAAACTAGTTGCTGTTTTTACTAATGCAGTTATTTTGTCAATCTCCTGCGAGAATAATAACTCCCAGTTTGTGCAGATCCTGGTGGGTTATTTGACCATAATTCACCACAGGTTACTGTTTTATGGTTTTTAAATATTGAAATAGCCAAATTTAATTTGTTTGGGAATATATCATGATATCCTTTGAGATGGTCTTTGGTAAAAATTTTAGTAAAAACAGCCTGTTAACGCTAAATTATAGCTCAGTAGCGCTTCCTGGGTAGCTGAACAATTTTATTTTACCATTATCAAGTTACCTTTTGAGTTCCAGTGGCAGATTTCATTGAGATTTAGCATAAAACAATAGCTTTGGAGCTTCAGTATATTAAAAAACCGGTTTAAACGCATTGAATTGCAAGAAAGTGACACTTTGAATGGAGTTTCTCATAGAACAGCGCCCCTAGTGGTCAAAACAGCGCCCCCTAGTGGCCAAAATTGTAGCGGGATCAATAAAAACAAAAATCTTGATTCATTTCCTCTCTTTACAGGTCTTCTGGTTCTGCACCTCTTCTTCAGTGTCACCAACCCTGCGGGTTCCATCTGTCCTGCCCATTCACACATGTTCGTTCGTGTCAGATTTCCACACCACAGTTTTCGTGCTGACTTCCACAGCGTCTCTCAACCATCAACCACAGCCGTCTTCAACCATCAACCAACATCTTTCGGATGCTCAACCATCTTTCCACGTACCATTTCAACACCTCATAGCGTTATTTTTTTATAGACTTACTTGGGGATTTGAACCGGGGTCGCCCAGCTCCAGAGGCTCCAGAGGCGAGATTACTTACCCCTCCACCACGAGGGCTTAGTGAGTGTTGTGTGTTTTCTGGTTACTAAATCATTCTCCTTTTCAATACTCGCTTCAGTTATCTTTTTTGAAAAATAGAAAATAAACAAAAAAAACCCATAATAATTTACTTCGTATTTATGATTGATGAGTAAAAAAATTTAAATAAAATGTTAAAGGTGGATTAGAACGCAGGACTCTGTGATTTGTAGCGCCGAATACTTTCCGCTCGACCATTAAACAGTGATGACGTCACAATGCTTCAAGTGCTGTTGTAGTTGAAGCATGGTGACGTCTTCACTGTTGAAGCATTGTGACGTCATCACTGTTAAGGAAACTGGCCCCGTTTTGTGTTTCCACGTGGTAAGATCTTTATTTTGTGTGTCCACAAGATAAGATCTTTATTTTTTTGTATTTCCACGAGGTAACGTCTTTATTTCACGACACGGGTCCCACGCCTGCACCCTCGCTCTCTCTCGCATCGCCCCCCCCCCCAAACTCCGCCTCCCGCCCCCTCTTTTCACCTCTTTCTTGGCTGCGCCCCTCATTACCGCACCTCCGCCAATCGGCACCTCTCTCGCCCCCCCGCAAATCCTCTCGCTGCACGTGCCCTTAACCAATCAGAGAGCGTGGGGTGTTTGCTTCCACCCTCTTCATCACTCCGCCCCGCCCCCCTCCCAATCAAGTCGCACGTGGAAGCGTGCCACGTGGAAGCATTTAAACGTCGTGGAGTTGTCGCGCTTGAGGTCGTTTCTGTTCACGGCATCGCCGTGCGCCGTCACCGAAACGCACCAAGGGTGGCACAGTCGGGTTTTTTTACAATCGGGTTTAATTGTCTTTTTATATTAAACCCGATCAACTGAGATTGGGAGAAATCCGGTTTAATTGGTTCTAATTGCGGCATCCGAGCAGAACTTCTCAACGATGGGCTTCATCCATTCCAAGCGAAGGAACTCACTGGCGGTGCCCACGATTGTGGAGGAGAAGCTCGTGTTCATCACCAACCTGCCCGCCGCATTCTACGACTACCCCGTGCCCGACGGCCCCCCGAGTACGATAGCAGCACCGACGAGGAAGCAGCCTAAGCCTTGGATCAGAGTTTCGTATTCATTACACCAGGTTTTAATTCCCCGAAATCGGGTTTAATTGTATTAAAGAAAAAACCCGATGCCTGCTGCTGGAAAAAATCTGTTTTTTTCACCCATGAAACGCACAATGTTCGTGAACGTTCCACCATCGCGGTTCGAACTCAGGGTCCGCCGCGTCGAAGGTTGTGCACCGCTGGGTTATGGGGGGGTTCGGTTTTTACTTTGTTAATAACTCTTTGACGAGGCTGGAGTCGGGAACGGGTTTTGAAGGCTCTCCCAGTCGCAGAGAAGCATTTGGTTAAACAAAGACATCGATAAGGCTCCAGCGAGTGTGAAGACGCGCGCAGAATCTGCATTTGATGTCACTTTGGTCGCACTTTGCATCGTTCACATCGAGGCCTCGACCCATTTGGACCGGCAGGCACATCGGCCAAGGCCCAGCTTCGTGACAACGATTGCAACTCCAGCGGTTCAACAAACTCACGCAACATCTTTTACATTTGTGGCAATGAAGATTCGGCCGACTTGTACATCTCCTCTGCATCTACATGACGAAGCTCAACATCCACGGGTGACCTCTGGTCCCTCGGTTCCGTGCCACTGGGACTGTGGTGGTCTCTGACGAAGGCTGCCAACGGAATCCGGCTCCGTTCGAAGCCTTCAAGTTCCACCGAAAATAATTTCTCATTTGTAAGTCTTTTACCATGTTAACTTAAGCCACTTCTTACCCCACCCCCCGTTGTCATGTAAAAGCGCCTTAGTTCATGAAAGGCGCTATAAAAGTTGCAATTATCATTGGCACACATCTCAAGGACTGGCGAAGCACCACCGATGCGCCATGTTTCGGCATTGCTTTAAATCGCAAACTTCATGCGAGATACAAACCATCTGCAATCGTTGGAGCAGGCCGGACAATAGAGTTCCACACAGCTGCAAGCAACGGATATCGGTAGCCTTTGTAAATCACACAAGGTGGGGGAGAAGAGCAATACGCACCGTTTGGTGTGTGTTTTAAAGTGTTCTTAGCACGAGACGCGTGGCACCCACCCCCCTCCCAAATACAATTGAACTTCTCGCTCGGGGCAGACCAACACACTGGGGAGGCCTTCAAAAGTAGTTTGACAAAAGGTCTGGCTGGACACCATGCAGTCAGGTTTTCCTCGTTACTCTTCATCATTAAATTACATGTCACGTTTGCGCGTGAAGGTGTATCACGTTGTAGTTGTGTTTGTGTGTGGCCGAAATAAGACAAGGAGCACGATCAATTGTACATTTTAAAACATGCAAGTTTCTTTAATTAAACCAACATTTTCAAAACGCCCACAGCAAGCTGTGTTGGTAAACTGAAGATGTGCGCGCACGTGTGTGTGCATAGTTTCAAAAACGTGTCAAAGCACCCAGTTAGTTTTCACGTACCATCGCAGAGAAATGAACCACAGAGAAGCACAACTCAGGCATGCACCAGGAGATAAAACACATCAGCATTCAGAACCACCACGATAAGTTATTAATGTGGAATTAAAATATCCTTCAACCCTGTCGTTTGTGGGGCCTAATGTGAACCATCCATAGAAAACACGCGCTAGTTTGAAATGTAAACGTTAAATTATAGTCGTATACCCCCCCACACGCGCGCACGCAAATAAATCAGCCATTCGAGAAAGACGTCCACCACTCTAATTGTACCAGCAGCTGTCGCCTTAAGAAAAACACATTAATTATTGCTCACTTAACCGAGCGTCCGAAATTCAGCAATCTTACAGTTTTGGTCTACTTACAATTGTGCATAAGTGATGCGGTTAGTTAAACAATGCTGTCGCAAGGTCAAAAAAACCCGGAAAAATGCTGGTCAACACATGGTTGTAAGTTCATTAAAAAGGTTGAAGCTGCTGCAAATGTGATAAAAGGCAAATTAAAATCCTCGTATGGTTAATGCCCAAAGTTTAAGCACAAAGATTCCTCAGCTGTGCAAATATCACCAGAAGACATCCTCCTAAAGTCATTTAAATAATCAATGTACTAGAACAGTTGTACTACTTACAACTGCCACTAATAAAAAAAAAGTAAATTTCGACCAGCGATCAAAGGCACAACAATTTAATAATAAAAACTCAAAGTACAGACTAAAAAAAAATAGGAAAAATAATTATTTTTGCCTGCGAAACATCCTGGAATATGCGGCAAAAGGCGTAAACGATAAAGGCAGAGCATTGGTGGAATAGGACCCTGACCTGGTCTGGGGTTTAACTCGTGAATTCTTCCTTCCACCGCAAGTCAACTTAAACTTGGCCACTTACGAGAATTAAAGAGTTTCAAAGCAAGTGTTTCACATCGACGAGCAACACAGGCAAAAAAAAACTTAATATTTGGGGAAAACATAGATCAGGGGCAGTAACGGCTGGAGCAATGAGCCCTATGAAGAAGAAGAATAATTATTGAGCAAAATTTTGCTGTGCGTAATGTTGTTCTGTCCGACGACACGTCTTGCACCACTTGGCCGCCGTTCGCGTGCTTGGTCACGTGCACGGAACGACGGACCGTTGGGGGAGCCGCACACAACCTCCTTCTAGAAGGGCATCTCCCACGACTGCTTGGCCATCATGATGCCGCGCTTGAGCTGCTCGTACGTGACGAACATCACCACGTTCCAGGAGCCCAGGCGCAGGAACGACGGCACAAACCTGCAAGCGGCGCACGCACGGAAAACGCGAGCGTCAAGCAACGCGAACCCACAGCCATGCGAGAGGAAAGGGTGAGTCGCTGCCAGATGAAGATCCAATCCCCCCCCCCCCGCCGCCGCTCCCTCCAATCATTGTGAGCCAAGAGGATCACGTGACGTGTTAAACCAATGCAAGACAAGGTGCGATCAAGAAGCAATTTGTTGATCATCATGTAGGCGATTTCTGTTAGAATATGAAAATAAAATGTTTAAGGACTAATGCTTTCATAATAAAAAAAAAAACACCTTATTCATTTGAAACACAGACCTCAACATTGGGTGTGTACATGTAATGTAAACGATGACATTTTACGAGACATATCCGAGGGTGCATCTCTCCATCCACTTTCATCGTGCTCGTAGCGGAGTATCTGACATGGAGGTCCTGCGCCCTCTTAAAATTGGTACGAAGCTTATTTAACAAGAGTGGAATTGGCATTAATGATTTAGCATCCCCCATCCCAATAAATTACATTATCTAAATACAAAGCATCAAATCTTTGTTTGTTTTGCATTGGAAAGTTTGGCTTTCTCCAGACTAAATTGAGATTGATTTATTGTTTGTTCCCAAGCCAACGTCGCACCAAATCATTTGCGCAAATTGTAAATAAATTGTTCTGTACGCACTCAATTTCATACAAGTACAATACAGCAACACCTTGGATTGCGAGCAACTTGGTCTGCGAGTGTTTTGCAAGACGAGCAATTTTTTTAAATAAATATTAATTTGATAAACGAGCGAGGTCTTGCAATACGAGTAGTACGTGTACACGCTTTGTCTGCCGAGCGTCACGTGATCACAACTGATATACGAGTGCTTTGGATTACAAAACACGTGTCCGGAACGAATTATGCTCGCAATCCAAAGTTTTACTGTAATGTGTACTTAAGAATCTAACGTGAATATTTAAGAAGTACGTGCCAACTACCTACCACTACGCCAAACGGACAAGCAATACACACAAGTGGAGACGATGGGCATACACAGGGGGCAGCCGCGCAAGCTGCGAGTTTAAGGATCACGTCACGCTACCATCGCGGCGAGGGGGCAGGTGCTGCCGATGACCCGAGACGAACCAAAAGTCCACTTGACGCTCTTACCCTTTGTAAAAAGCCATGGCTCCTTCTTTAGTCAGCATGAGGTAGGCACAGTTGAAGGCACTGGGATACCGGCCGGGGGCAGAGTTCATGTACCGCGTCTTCACCACATCCACAGGAGACGCCACAACGGTGGTGCAGAAGCCCGCTCCGAAGGCGGACACGAAGTGGCAGGGCAGGTTGTCTGCGAGAGACGGAGGAGAGGGAATCGGATTGAGATTGGCCAGGGCAGCCCGGGTGAGTGGCGCGCTTGACAAGTCAACCGGCAGGCTAAACAATAATCAAATGCAGACATGCACCTGCAAATCGGGTGTACAAAATGTGTTGGGTGCATCCTGCCGTGGACTGGGGTGTGTCCAAAAATAATAACAGAGGGTCCCGAGTCGCTCGTGTAAACATGCGAACTAACACAACGCTCGCAATACGTGCATGTGAGATTTGACAGACGATTAAATTAAAGTCACATGTCTCAGGTTAGGTTTCATGCAAACAAAATCGTACGAATAAGCTAAAAATAGATATGAATAACACATGAAGCATCAGAAGATATTCAATTGATCATTCATATCGAAATTGCAACTGCCTAAATGAGCAAATTGCATAAAATGTTTTGCCGCGTGGGAGGGGGGGGTGAAAAAAAAGAATTACACATGCTTGGCATTAATGTTCCCTTCGTGTTAAAATACGGGGATTCGGAAAATTTTAAGGGTGGCAGTTTTTTCACGGTTATGGGAGTAGTGCCCCGTCAAAACAAAAACCGGGTTGGAAGAATTAACCCTGCCCAGACCTAAGGGACGCACTGCACTGCTAGGCGTGCAACCTCTTGCGCTAGTTGGTGCATGTGTGCGTAGGTGCGTGTGGGGGGGCCTCACCAGTCAGCAGTTTGTACTTGAGGATGGTGTCCTTGATGATGTCATAGGTCACGAGCTCCGCGCAGTTCACGATGGCGTTGCGCGTGATGTTGGGGCCAGTGCCTACACGGTCACAATAAGAATAATTACACGACCGTCACGCATGGTTCGACTTAATACGACCATCTCGTTGACGAGTGCATGGGAACGTACGACGTCGTTTTTAAAAGTATTTAAACAAGGCAGATTGAACAATATTTGTTAACATTAAGAAGTCCCCGTGAAAAACCTAAGGCTTCCCCACTCCCCCAGAAGCCATCGAGGCTGAAGGGGAACGCTGCAACACGAGATTTCTCAACGGATTCTCCATCTCGCAACACGACACCGACAGCACGACTGCAAGATATTGGGAATGGAGAGACAAAGAGAGAGAGCGGGGGATGCGTTTTGTAAAGAGACGGAAGGCTGCACACGGCCGTGTATTTACCTTTCCAGAGGCCACGGACGCCCTCCTCCCGTGCGATGGTCTTGTAGGCATTGATGGTTCCGCTGTAGCGCTTGGAGGTGCCCAGCATGTTCACCTGCGCCTGGAATCGAACCTTCACCACATCGGTGGGCTGCGCAAAGGTCACGGCCATCGCGCCGGTGGTGCAGCCGGCCAGTAAGCGGCAGCCAATCCCCGCGTCTGCGATGCGCACGGAAAAAAAAAATGGAAAAAAATAAGTCAACTATGCAAAAATCACATTACAATTCAACATCAGTTTTCAAATTCCTCATTTCGAGCCAAGGTGACCTCGTCCTATCTCCAAGAACAACAGTGACCAATCTGAGATTCACATATCTATACTCAGCAGAATTCCCTAACGTATTGCATAATGTACATTTGTGTGCCAGGCAGTAATACTGTATACCCTTGCGGTATTATAAACTACTTAAACTCATTCGCGCTTTGGCAAGAGATACCTGGCAAAATGTAAAAAAAATCGTTTACAGTCTGTCAATCCACTGCTGGATGAAGGCCTCCCCACACCATATCGGTTGTAGGGCATCTCAGTCGTGGGGGTTATTTGACCATACTTCACAGCGCTGGGCAGTGCAGGTTGGCAAAGGGAACACTCGGCACCAGTTTATAAAAAAAAAATCGTTCATCGCCAATGTTAGCTACGAGCAATAATGGAACTCAGGTCACCGGGTTCATAGTGCGGTGCTTGAACAACTGCATGATCACTCCCAGTAATACAGTACAGTTATTAAAATAGACTTTAAGTGGATTATAACTATTCACAGAGTACAGTCTGAATTAGTGGTTAATGCTTACAAATGTCATATTGAATCCACGAAGACTATACAATTACATTACTTTCTCTGTAACCAGGATCGTGTCAACAAGCCTTGAAAACAGCTTACGAAGACTGTTTTTTTCCCCCAAACCGTCATGTTCCTGGAGAAAACCCATCCACACAAGGGGATATCACTCAAGCCTGCACCGATAAGCTGCTAAAAATCTACTTTCCGGTGACCACAAACTTAACATTTTCACAAGCAGGTGACCCCGTTCCATTGCCATTAATATTGAATACCAGATTATTATTTAAAACTTGTGTGTTTTTGTTTACATTGTGGTGAATGTCACACCTCGAGATACACAAATCGAAAACAATCTCCAGATTTGCGGACCAAAATAACACGGCCACAAATTTGACTCGTTTTAAGCTGGCGATCCGAAACAAGGCCGTGTGCAATTTACACGCAGGATGGTGACGATACGCGACATGCAATGCACATATTCTTCGGTTCTTTCGGTAAAGTCATGTAGATGCAGTCATGAACGTCAAGTCAAAATGCAATGCATAATTGGAGGACACCTATCTTACAGGTCACAAGCGCACCTTTTTCCGTTGACAAGTCAACCTTTGCAGGCATTGTTAATCTCATTTCCAGCCTGTTCAACGAGTTCATAATCATTTGTAGAAGGCGTTAAAGTTGCTTTAACCCATCCTTACAAATTCATTCGCGGCCACCGCCGTCCCGCAAACGATAAAAAAACCACGCAAAAGCAGCGGCGGCAGCTCACGTTCAGCGCCGTTGGTGTAGAAGTTCTTGACGGAGTCGTAGAGGCCGATGCGGACCGAGGCGAAGCTCATCTGCCGCTGCAGCCCGGCGACGAGGCCGCTGTAGAGGCTGCGCGGGCCCTCCGTGCGCACCATGGCCGCGATGGTGCCGAACACACCGCGGTATTGTACGCCAGCAGAGCGCGCCGCCCCCTCTCCGCCGCGCTGGCACTCGCCCTGGACCTGACGGCACAAACGCGGGAGATGAAGAGCCGGTCGACGTCGGAAAGACTTTATTTCGTTGACCCTGCGAGCGATTTGCCACGCGCCCAAGTGGACCGCTGGGTAATATAAAATAGAGTTGCCTCTCCTGATTCTCTCGACCAGCAGATGTTCGGCCAATCGACTTAATTTTGGCAGCACAAATTAGGATTGGTAACACGTGCATTTTAGGTATTAGGCAAATAAAGGTTTTAGGAAACCCAGTATTTACTCTACAAGCGATGGGTAAATACACCACGTAATACGAGGTTGGGGATTAAAAACCCTTCGTTCACCATGCGTCAAACCAAGTCGCCCCATAATCCAATCCCCTCGGCTGCAGTGCCTCCTGACAGACGATGCCGCTCTACCATCGTGATACTAACAACAACAACCACATTTGTTTTTCCAGTGCCATAATTTCAGACCGCGTAACGATGCCGAGGCCTCTGGCGACGGCTCAAGCGTAGGAGGCGCACGGCGACTCTCGGTTTAAGTCGACACTCCAGCAGTGCATCTGCGGTGGTGCCACAGCAGCGCACTCCGTACCTGCAGGCGGACTTTAGCCGTGTCCAGAGGGAACGTGATGAGGTCGGCAATGCACGCCGCGGTGCCGGCGCCAATGAACTTCACAGCCGCGGTCGGCGGAACATCCGTGGGCCGAAGACCAACCATTTTCCCCTCTGTGCGAGCGTGTTATGTTGACTTGCGGCGGATATTTCCAAAACGTTTTTTTCCACAAACGTGAAAAAAGCCTAATTCTGAATGTATTTTATAGCACGAAATGAGCGGAGGGTTGGTAGAGGTGGTAGTGGTGGTGGTAGCGGGACTGATGTAATGAAGATGCAGGTAGGTGTACTCTGCCCGAAATCTGGGGACAACAAAAGAAATATAGAAATAGAGTTTAATAACAATGATTTTGAAATTACGAATTCCTATATAAAAATTCTTCATTTGGAATATATTTACTCAAGAAAGCTCAATAACATTTATGACTCCACTTCAGATGAAGACAATCCCTGCTCTGGTCATATTTGTAGTAAACTCATTTTAGTTTAAGCAGCAGCCATTCAATGTAATAAAAGTTTGGGGGGGGGGGGGAAATCACAGGATTTACAAAACCTGAGAGAAAACCCGACCCTAAATCACTAAAATTTGACGTTGAAATAGGTTCCAGTAACGAGCAATAACCAAACCAGCCTTGGTCTGCAACTCCTGAAAAAGCCCGCACTGACCAGCATAGGTGAAGTATGGTCAAATGAGCCCAACGATCAACATGAAGTGGAGAGGGCTTCATCCAGCCGAGGATTTACAAAGGACAGAATCATTATATTAAACAATCGGGATAACCCTGTACATAACTACATTAACCACAAGAATCCCATTTTGGAAAACCGTAACCTACCAAGCTTATTTCGGATAAAAGCTTGGTTTTATTTATCTCTTAATTTCTCAATGGCCATGAAAAATGTTTATCCATAGAGGTGTTTTGGGCTAGATCGCGATCCAAACCAAAAACACTATTATGGACGATATTGGTCGCGAAAGCCTACGTGTTAAAATGTCTACCATTACATAACACACACACACACCACATGCTTAGTGGCTCGGGCAATTATGATACTCGCCACAAGATGACGCTAGAGCATTCGTGACTTCGCCCATGCCACAAATTAAAAGTGCTTTTCACCAAGACGCCCCGAGTACGTTGAATTGATCACGTTGCGGCAGCGACAACAGCAGCCAAGACTTGAGCCTCAAACGAAAACCACGTGGAGGAGGAGGGGTTTGGTGGTGGTGGTGGCAAGTCCTCACCTTGATGGGAAAAGGGTTCTCAGCTCATCAAGACTCCCGAAACGCGTCCCTTTCACTGTAGTGGACCGTTTGGCAGAATTCTTGGACCAGGGCTTCTTCCATAAGAGTGGTGGGGACGCGACTCTTTAAGCGCATAATACGATCCTGTTGCAGTCCGCGAAACACAGCCAGTCCGCTCCCCTGCACAAGGGGGGGGGGGGGGCGCGAAACAAGACGAAAGTTTGCGACACGCGTACAAAGTGGTGACACGCGTACACAGTGGTGACATGCAAAGCCCTTTCGCGAACCCGCTGCTGGAAGAGGGCCGCCTTTCGCATTCAGCAGTGAGGCCGATATCATAAATTGACAATGCATTAAAGTTAAAGCACAAACACATTGCCTTCATGGTCAATTCCACAGTACCCGTCAAAAATAATACATACGGTCGTATCACCGTCATCAGTTGCTCTCAGTGTGCTTTTAACGGTCAACCGAAATAAAGGTTTAGAAAAAAGAAAACCCAGGCCTTCATCCGGCAGTGGATTATAACAGTCTCGTTATAAAGCCACGTGCCATCATTTACGGTAGTTTCCACTTCGGCCAGCAACTATGGGGAGAGAGCGGTGGTCGCAGCGGTTAAACCGCACCACGCTACGATCCAAGGCCACGGCTAACATCAGTGGCGAGCGACGGATTACACGAGCCCCCCACCCCCCCCTCTGATGAATCAGCGCGGTGAAGCAAGAGATCCGAGATGAACGCCCACGACCCAACACCGTTGGTGGCGAGGCCAGGAGGAAGATCCCTCCTCCAACTTCGCAGCCACACACACACACAAATGTTTTTACCGCTGCAATATTTCATTAATTATTCCGTTCATTTGCCCGGGTGAACTTTGCGCAGTTGGGCAACAAAAACAGGCAACAACGACGACGTTGCCCAACAGCTGTTTCCATTGTGGCAGGGGCCGGCATCCAACATAACAACGAGGAGCCGTTGTGTTTTTCTCCTCTCTCATGCGGTAAAAAACCCTAAATATTTTAAGAGCCCCCAATGCACACGTGGTGAACACGAGACGGTGGTGCTTAATAAATAACACCACGAAAAAAGTCCTTAAAACAATGAGCGCACATTGACCCCTGAACTTTAGCAAGGAGGCGGTGCGTGTGGTGTGTGCGGGGAGCGGTAGTGCAGCGGTTAGCGCACTGCGCCACGAACCCGGCGACCCGAGTTCGACCAACACCCAGTGACGATTGTCTGAACCGGTCCTGGGCCTCCCCTAGGTCGACTCAGCCTCAAATGAGTACTTGGTGCGGTGTTTAAATCATCGCCACTGGGAGAGACAAAGGCGGCCGGGCGTAGTCCTGGCCACCCACCCCCTCGTGTGCCGTGCCGGCCTTTATAGGCACTGCTGCTCGCTAACAGCACTTGCCCCTACAGTCCGTGACAGGCTACACGGGGGATCTTTGTCTTTGTCTCCGTGGCGTGGCACGTTGACGACTCACGCCGGGGAGTGGCCATGCAAGTCGCGGCTCCAAGCCGGTTCCGCATTAAACAATGCGCGTGTCGAGAGATCGATAGCCAACCACACACACACACCAGTGCCCATATACAAACAAAGACCCCCAGTGTAGCCTTAACAGACTGTAGGGGAAAGTGCTGTTAGCGAGCAGCACCTATAAAGGCTGGAACGGTACACGAGGGGGGGGGGGGTGGCCAGCACCACGCCCGACCGCCTTTGTCTCTCCCAGTGGCGATGATTTAAACACCGCACCAGGTGCTCATTGGAGGCCGGGTCGACCTAGGGGAGGCCCGGTTCAGACAATCGCCAACACCGCGAGCTGGGAACCCGGGTCGCCGGGTGCGCAGCGCAGCGCGCTAAGCGCATCACCACCGCTCCCCACTCACAATCACTCGCTCGCTTGCTCCCCACTCACTATTCGAGCAGGTCTGGCAGGTCTGGCAATACGCGTACCTCTCACACAGCCCTTCGTCTTAATCCACTGCCTGTGTGTGTATACGATAGCCTCGCCATGGTGCGCGTTATCCAAGAGAGAGCGAGAGATAAAACTTCGTTCTTCGTTCCACGTGGGCTCTCCGCCTCGACACGAAGCTCACCGCGCACAGCGAGCGAGCGATACGCAAAGTCGCCAACATCGTGAACGGCGAGTTCGCGGTCACAGCACTACAGTGGCCACGTGGGCGAGCGAGCACGTGGACAACGCAAGACGAGTACAGTGCACACGACCCGGCACATTGTACTTTCAGACGTTCAGCCAACGTCGTACCAACGTCTGCACTAGGAAGAGGAGTTGGCATTGTTAGTACAACGGTCCCCATGTCCCCAGCCCCCCAGCCCACGTGTCTCCAGCCTCCCAGCCCCCCAGCCCACGTGTCCCCAGCCCCCCATGTCCCCAGCCCCCCATGTCCCCAGCCCCCCATGTCCCCAGCCCCCCATGTCCCCAGCCCCCCATGTCCCCAGCCCCCCAGCGCGTTTCTAACCCGAGCCTTGGCCAAGCCGTCCCCAACCATCGCGATCACACGCGGAGACGCCGGGCGGGCTTGGTGGTTACTCACCCGACTCGAGTTGCTGGGCGAGAAGTCCTCCTCCAGCAGGGCGCCGCTTGTGCCTGGAGACCAGCCCGGCCTATGCGAGCTGCTGCTGCTGCTGTGATGGTGGTGGTGGAAGAAGCGAGATGCCAGTGGGAAGTGTGGGAGTGCTTGACGACTTCGTCCTGTGGGGTCCTTCAGCGCAGCCGTCGCTTTTAAAGGCCGGGAAGAGGTGACGACATGGTCCCAGGTCTCCTCCCTCCGCTCACTCCCCTCCCCTCCCTCCTCTACCTCCCTCCCCTCCCTCCTCGACTTCCCTCCCCTCCACTCATCTCCACTCCTCCAGCCTCCGCACCAACCCCATCCATGCCCGTTCCTCCACGTGCCGACTTCACCGTTGACGATTCAACTGACAACGAATTCACTTTTGCGTCTTGGAATAGTAAAAGTGATGTTCCGATTTAAAGCTTTCGTGACTGCAGGGATTCATCTTCTTGGTTCTTTCGGTAAAGTCACGTAGAAGGGAAGGAATAAAATAATAAAAATAAAACTTAATAAAGCAGCCGTCTTCACCTGAAGACGGCTGCTTGCGTTGTAGCCGAAACGTCGTGAGAATTATTATATTTTATTATGTTTTATTTGTATTATTTTATTACTTCCCTTCTACGTGAATTTACCGAAAGAACCAAGAAGAAAAACGTGATGTTGTTTATTAGATTGTAAGTCGCAGGGGAGAAGATTTGGCTTTGCGTTTCTGCCGTATCGCACTCACCCGTGTTTAATGCAGGTCTCTCTTTAGTCGAAATGATTTCTCCCGTAACTTATCATTAAAAAAGATGTGTATATCTGTTAGGCGCAATGATTTATTGGACTGATCACGGCTTGAGTGAGTGGCTAGTGATATCTGAAACGCGTCTGAGCTCACCCACTCTCAACTACAAGGGTGGTGAAGTATGGTCATACAACCCCGATAATTGACCTGGCGTGGGGAGCCCTTCATCCAGCAGTGGATTGACGCAGTGGCCGTGAATTAGTATTGCATGTTTCACACAAACACGTTTCCTCCAGTGAGATTGCAACGTCTTTTCATTTTACTCAAGACCTTACACGCAATTTGATGGCCTTATGGTTTAAATATCCAAATGCAGAAATTGACGCAGGGTGTGATTGCTTAAATGAAGAATCAAGAATGATTCAAGTCAAATGTATTTGTTAATTAGCGATGTGAAATAGTCTCACCGAGCAGAGATACGTTCCTGGGTTTAATATTTAACAAGGCAAATCAAAGTCATGAACCCATACATTACCTCGCTGGTGAGACATTGACCAGCAACGTGGACATTCCAAAATGCACAAATGCGTTGCATTGTCCTGTTGTGATGATGTTTCGTGACTGCAGGGATTCATCTTCTTGGTTCTTTCGGTAAAGTCACGTAGAAGGGAAATAATAAAATAATTAAAATAAAGCATAATAAAGTAAAAAAAAGTATTATGCTTTATTTTATTTATTTTATTATTTCCCTTCTACGTGACTTTACCGAAAGAACCAAGAAGATTAGAGAGCGTTCGCAAGCTAAGGGCATCATTTGTATTACTCTTTGGTTCTTTCGGTAAAGTCACGTAGGTATAAAAAAATAAAAATCACATGTCATAAAAATTAAGCCAGAGAGAAAATTGTTCAGTGTCTCTTGCAGAACTCTTGTTTTAGACTGGCTTCGGTTGGTCTCACAAAGCCTCTTGGTATAAAATACTTTATTATTTATTGAAAATCTCCGTTTAGTCTCCATAATATGTACAGGGCGCTTAAAAATTATCACACTTCTGAGAATTGGCAACAATACCACGATGAATGTGGCCTCCGGGCTCTGGAGACCACCTGGAGAAGATTCCAGGCACGTGTTGACAACGATGACTTTTTGAAGCTATTAACATACATTTGTTTTCATGTTACAGTGTAGTATTATCCGTTAAAAATATATTTGAAGGAACCTCTATTGTGGGTGAATCAGTGGCGCGGTGGTAAGCTCACTTTCCCTATCATCCCGTCCTACTCGGCTCGATGCACGTACGGTGATTTTTAAAAATATATATAACTGATGATATCAACCGATGTATCGTTATACATCAGATGTTATGCTTCTCTCCGTCGGTAGTGTCTTCCTGGAGAGGCAGGGGTGTCATAAATATTCCATCCACAGCACCGCAGCCATCAGTGCCGCCGTCCCACATCAAAAGGCGGAGCAGAAAAGGTCCTTGCAAAGTGCGAAGCAAGCGGCAGGTTCGAAGCGATGAGTTCATCTGCGCCACGCGTGAGCCACACAGAGCTGAAACAAAACCGAACTTAGAACGGCGTCAACTACTGCGCCACCGTTCTCGCATCCCTTAACCAACTCGTGCTGACCAGCGCGGTGAAGTATATTCTTAGGTTTTTTTAGGTAAAGTCACGTAGGTAACACATTAAAATTAATACAGCTATCGTGCTGTGACGGTTCCACCTGAAGACGTAGGCTTGCGTTGCCTCCGAAACGTCGTGATTTTTATTTTATTTTTCATTTTACTTTTATAAATTTTGATTTAATTTTTTTTACCTACGTGACTTTACCGAAAAAACCTAAGAATATGAATCATTGCAGTCACGAAAGCTTCAAATCGGTGAAGTATAGTCAAGCAACGCCATGGCTGGCGCGGTGTGCGAACATCTTCATCTTAACAGTAGATTGACCAAGGGATGTACATTAGAACGACGTGGTAATTGCAGCTGTATAGTTTATCAAGTGACGCGTGCGTTTGTGTCGTTTTACAGCAATAAGCGATGGGATTTTTTAGACGATGCCTCGACCCTCCCAAGCTTTGATTCTCTGCTATTGTCCACGCATCGGCAGGCGAGAAGGCGTGGCGATGGCTTGCTGGTTGAAGACTTACGCCGGCGTGGGAACCAAAAGCAGGAGAAATGATGGAGCAAAAAAGCAATGATCGGGCACGTGTGCGTCTGCTCAGCGGATTTCGACATCACACGGCCGTGGTGGCATGGGAACGCATTCATCCAACAGTGGACCGATGATGGTGGAAAAATAACTGAGGTGTTCTTTTAAAAGCACACGTTAAGTAGAAAACAACCGAGACACGTGTGTATTGACTGCGGCGGGAGCGAGCGCGTCACGCCACGTGGCCCCCCGCATGTATTTTTGTACAAACCTCCACAGCACCGTCACGCGTGTGTCTTGCGTGCCTGTTCAAGGGGCAGTCAACAGTGTGACACTTGAATGGACAACACACACGGCTCGCTCAGGCCGCTGGAACTTGAGAATTTCTTCAAAGTAAATGTTTCTCCCGATTTTCATTTTGTGCAACTGAAACATGGCATCAGAGTGTTTGCGTGGCTTAAGACGCGCACGTGTAGAGGCTGCATGTGCCACGAGGGTTCTGTTAACTCGACTATGACGGCACTTGCAAGATCCGACCATGTCCATCCAAGGCGCTTGGCACAAATGAACCACAACACTTCGCTGATCTCGCCATAAACCATCATCACGCTCAATCCGCTCATACTCGCAGCAGCAGCAGCGGCAGCGGCGGCTTTTAGCGAAGCCATCGAGCAAAGACAAAGACGGCGGTCACCGCTTTCAGATGCGCGTCCGTCGCCGTCTGGAACGCTCTTCCTCCCGATATTCGCAAGCCATTAGAGCTATGCACTTTTTAATCTAGTTTGAAAACTCGAATTAAAACTGCGTTGTGTGTTTAGTTTGTCGTCCTCCTCCCGCACCTCCGATTAGCGCGGTTGGCTACGTACACTGTGCAAGAAGTTCAACACACATGTATACATATGAATGTCCTTTGAACATCAGTGGCAAGGACAACGATAGTGATTGCATGTGCATAAGCTAATTGGCATGCGTTACAATAAATGCACTTTAAGTTGAGGTCGTTATTCTAAAGTTAATCTCTCTGAAGACAAAGTGTTGCCATGTCAATGATGTTCTTTACGATGTAGGAGCAATATCGTTTCGCTGGAAGGGGGCTATTATGAACAGAAGTACAAAGAGACAACATTATACTGTATCACTAAATTCTTACTATGGGCCTATCCAGACAGTAACGCTTATACTGCATTATATATATAATTATGTATTTGTTAATATTGAATCATCTCCTGACAGATGTTTTACTCAAATCCCTCATTCACTTCATTTACATTGGTAACTTATGATGGTTCTTCTTGGTTCTTTCGGTAAAGTCACGTAGAAGGGAAGTAATAAAATAATAAAAATAAAACATAATAAAATAATTCTCACGACGTTCCCTTCTACGTGACTTTACCGAAAGAACCAAGAAGATGAATCCCTGCAGTCACGAAAGCTTTACATCGAAACTTATGATGGATTTGTGTTCTTCCCCTGCCCCTACTTTGTTTGTTATCCAGATTCTCCCTGGACTCGCTCTCTCATCCGGTGCCGATGACGAACTCGTTGATGTATGGAATTGAAGCCCCCACCACCCATCCCGGTTTGCTGTGGTCTTCTTGGGGCGGGCATGTTGACGGGTGAGGGCTGACCCATCATGGCTAGCTATTGGAATGTGGGAAACAACTTATGCCGACGTAAACACGTGGGCGAAACAGAACACTTAATAAAGGTGTTTATTATTTTTTATTTGGGGAGGCTGGGGGTTAGATCGCGTAAATATAAATGTCGGTTAAACCCGACACCACCCGACATAGCCAATTCGTAAGATTTGCCACGTAAACAATGTGCCAATTAGTTTACTAGTTCAGCTCACCGGTGTGTGGGAGAGTAAACCCGCATCACTTACAATTAGCAAACCAAACAGAGCACACAGATCACGGTGGAAGTTGGCCATTATAGAAACGACGCTCGGTGCATTTAGTTTAAAACTCTTTTTTTTAAACGCTGTACAACAACAAAAACACACGCAAGAGGCCATTCTCATTCAAATGCCGCCCGCCTATCACGGTCGCTCACGACTTTGCATGCCGCGAATATCCACATGAAACGGCACTGCGCGGCTATTTAAATGTAAATACTAAAAAGCGATTAGTGGCTCACTTGCAAAGAGTGTAATGTACGTAGCCAACCGTGCTAATCGGAGGTGCGCGGGAAGGACAACACATTTGAAACTCAATAACAATTTAATGATCATCAATTAGCATTTAACGATGTACTTTAACGTTGGGTTGAATGAAATATAAAATGGCTCGTCACGAATGTGCAGATTTGATGATGGCCCTGAATTAGCTCTACCCTAATGTGCAAATTGTCTGTAATCTAAGGAGGCTTGGTGGCACCGTTAACCACGGAGTCAGTTTACACACTCGACGATTTGATTAATACTACAGCTGCATTAGGGAATTCAAATCTAATAAAATACCACGTGATCATTACCAATGGCTATTGTGTGCCCCTGCCAGTGCACAACACGAACCACACATTTGGAAATACTCTTACGACAGTATTGTGTAACCACGGTACAGCAGTAATGCACTTGCCCAGAACAAAATCCCGCTGCACCTCGACTCATGTTTCAGCCAGGTTCATGCTTGGAATGTTGATTTTGTGTCGAACAAATTGGAGGGCTAAGAGGAAACCCACGCTTAGCAGGGGGGGAACAAGCGACTATAAAACTATCCAGATAGTTAACGTCTCAATGCTAATTGGCTGAGTGATGAGTCGCACAAAATAATATCTATTTTAACATTACAGAGCGTGGGGTCATGCGATTAGCCCAGCCGTCTGTGTCCCCAGTCGCCGATGCTTACACATCACACCCGGGTACTCGTTTATGGTGGAGTCTTGCCACGGGATGGTGTTACTCGTGTCGCGTCGAGTCGTAGCATGGTGAGCGAAACACCGATTCAACACGCCACGCAAACTACCCCCACATTCACGCGCATCGTGACGATGATGTGGCAACCAGCAAGCACAAGACGCGTTTGCGTGCAGTCGGGAAGGTGTGTCCACTCCCCACCAAATGGTGAAGGGCGCGGGACGTGGGTTGTTCGCTCACGACCCGCCTCATTTGAGACGCAAGCTCGGAGCTCTGGCACAAGCACGGTTCTTGAGAATGATTTCTTGCGAGACAACACGAACGAAAACATTTAGACGGGGCATTTTGACGTCAGGGCCAAAACCACTCGAACCAGATTTTCCAAACAAAAGCCACTCGGTACCAAACTTGTTTTTCTCTAAATGTTTGCGTTTCTATTTAATGTGTGTAATAGAACCTCATGGCGGGACCCCGGGGTCCCGAATAAAATCTTTAAAATGTATTTCTTTTTGGCGACTCCGTCCCACCGCGCACACAAACGCCGCGACCCGCCTGGCGCGGATCATTCTGTTGTCATGTCACGCCCAAGCGCAGCAGCGAGGACGAATGCGCAGAAGAAACACAACTTTAACACTCCGATTAGCGCGTCGTGTCGAGCTCGCCGTGATGAATATATCGCCGTGTCGTTCGCCTTCAGCAGACATACAATGACGTCGCAATGCAATTGATGCGAGAGCCGGGGGCTTATGGGACCCCGGGGTCCCGCCAGAAGGTTTAATGACGTACGTCAGTAGAATGGAACCGCTTTTAGAGATGGAATAGCTATCAGAGATGGAATGAACTACTCAGAGTAGCCATATGATTTAAACGAGTACTGTATTATCCCGAGTTTGTGAAGCAATCTGTACCGATTACATAATGCTGAAAACAGTCTGCTTAATTGGAAACAGCTGGTTAAACTGACTTTCGCCAGGTTAAATCAAGTTTCAATATCTCCCAATAACATACAGCACCTGCATTAAATGTAAAATTGAGAATTTTATTTGTTTTCAGTGCAATCACGTTTTATCCAGGACTGGATACAAAACATTTACTTTATAAATATCTGTAGGGATACTATTACATACAATGTACATCTCTGGGTACGTGAAGGAATGTGTGCTTCTAAAGCAATCAATAGATACATTTAATTTCTATTGTATTCAACTTATATAAGTATATAATTCAACTGTATAAAATATACACACAGCATAATGAATCTGGAAGATAAGAACCTATTTGGTGCAGTCTATACAATCAACAGCCACTGTTAATGCTGCCCAAAATATGTGTGCAGTTCGGCTAGATTCCAAAACATGTTTAGGGTTAAAAGTTGGCTCATGAAGGTGACATAAAACAACTTCATGGTGACATCATGCTTCAACAACTATCTTGAGAAGGAGGTTACTCTGCAGGCTGTAACATTTTGCATCTGTAGCTTTGGAGGCTTTGTACTTCTGGCCCTTAGTTTCACTCCTACAGCTTTTCTGTCCATCTACTGCTGGATGAAGGCCTCTTCATGCAGTGCAGGGAAATTTCGACCAGACTTCATCATCACGGTCAGTGCGGCTTGATGGAGGCTGGGAGTACATAGATGCGGGAGCATAGACGTACAGTCCAACAAAGGATTGTGTTGCATCCTTATCTGCTCCTAGTTTCAAGACAGGTGGCATAATTCCAGTGACTGGAATGCGGTGAAGGTGTCTCATGCCAAGCTCAAACCGATCTTGGCCAAACGATCGCCTCTCAAAACGACCGTTCCAGTGGAGCAGTGGTTGACACAACCACTGCGAAACTCATTCCGACCAATTCACTAATTTATGATTTCCTTTTATTATGCATGGTTCAGCTGCACGCGTTTAAACTGGAAAACAAGGAACAGGGTCCCAAAGGCCTCCGCCCTCGGGTTAACTTCGTTTGCATAATACACACTCATGTTTGAAAACACGACAAAAACATCGCACACAACTGAAACAAACACAAAAAAATCACTCTTAATTACAAGTGCACTTATTAATCACAAACTAGATTCGAAGCTTTCATGACTGTAAGGACTAATATTTTTGGGTTTTTTCGGTAGTCACGTAGGTAAATTTTTTTAATAAAATTAAATAAAAATCACGACGTTTCGGAGGCTTGTGTTGCCTCCGAAACGTCGTGATTTTTATTTTATTTAAAATTTTACCTACGTGACTTTACCGAAAACACCCAAGAATATAATCACAAACTCCAGCGCATTCGCGTGCTACTGCCGTCGTACACAAGTGTGGGGGGAACTGTGTTCACTCACATGTCAGGGCCGAAAAGCCCTGCCTGCCCATGTTTGGAAGTCTAATTTGTAGGTGTTGACAGGACAAAGTGCGCCATGCTCTATTTGACAGTGTTCCAGTGTATATTTTAAATGTCGATTTTTTTTCCCCATAATTCTTTAGCAGCTATATTCTTGGTTCTTTCGGTAAAGTCACGTAGAAGTGAAATAATAAAATAATATTATTATAAAAAAAATTATTTTTTTGTTTTATATTCATATTCTTTTGTTATTTCACTTCTACGTGACTTTACCGAAAGAACCAGGAATATGAATCCCTGCAGTCACGAAAGCTTTAAATCTTTAGCAGCTGATAATATTATGGACAAATATTAATCGGTGTAATCGGCTTCAAACAGAAGCATGAACCTTGTTCAAATACATCTAAATGGAAGAGAAATATTGTAAGAAAATTGCACCATATAACCGAAGGTTACGATTGGCTCAAAGGTTGTGGTTGAAACTATTCTATTTTTACATTTGGTCCCATACGTTGGAAGGTGTGGCTTTAACAAGTTCAACTATCCAGCATTGAGTTATACGTGTCTATAATGTATATAAATAGGCGCATTGCCAAGCACTGCAATACTCATGTGTATAGCAAGAGCAGGATTGTGATACCATGTATGTTAAGAATATAAACTAACATCCTGCTAGGAGGTACAGTGGTCAGAGTGCATGCGAGTTCTTATTCCTGTCAAGGGTGGATTCGGCCCTCTATCCCTGCTTGGTCAATACAATTAATTTGTGTGAAGTTAAACACTGGTTGTCCTTATGTATGTAATGTTGAACTTCTTTCACACCGTACGTAGCCAACCGTGCTGCGGAAGGACAACGAACTAAACACAAAAAGCACTTCTAAAGAATTGAGTTTTCAATTTAGGTTTAACCCGCTCTCGCCACGAGCTGTAAACACAAGATCACTCTCCATGCCCATTTTAGTGGGAAACCACTGACCATCAATTCCAATTTCTCAGTATTATCTGGAGATTGTCTATATCGCAAGATATTGCTAAAGGTATGCAAAAGTTGATAAATAATTACTCAAGTTTTTTTTTACCAGTACTGAGGACACGAGGAAAAGAGAGCTATTGCTTTTCAAGGGACATCCGATATCAGGGTGATACCTGCAATATCAATAGGCATCACGTCGGCAGACCGCCATCGAGAGAAGGGCGATCCGATACCAGCATTGCCTGCACGGCCCCAGCACCACAACCGTAATGCACGTTTAAAGTTGGCCAGACTCTCCCACAGATTTAGCTCACTGTCGAGACATCGAGACCTTTCAGCGCGACGCTGGCACGCATGTCCACTCGCAAGCACGCAGGCACGTGTGCGCACGTACGCACGCACGCACTATTCTGGCTTGGAGTAGCGGCTGGAAAAGATCTTCGCGATGCGTTGGGTTTGGTCTGGGGGAAGTGACGGTGCCAGGTGGGCTTGGAGTCGCGGAGTGCGGCGCGCGTTTGCCCCGCTTGTGCCAATCTCGCCCTCCTGTCACGCACGGGCAAGGGCAAGATCACATGGCAGACAATGCGGTTATTGATGTTGATGGCTTCGAAGTGCACATTAACGAGACGCGCGTTGCAGATGGACATTCAAAATGTCATCTGCAGCACATACTTCCGACAATATCATCAGTGACAAAGGGGCATCTCTACTCACAACTGTACTAATCAAATTGTTGAAAGTCCATCAAGACAACAAGTATCCTTCAAGCGAGACCTGTATAAATATAAACTGCCGGATAATACATCAGCAATATTGGCTCAAACAAAGCAGTAGGACAAAAACAATGCACCAACTGTAAATTGACGTAAAACTAAATGACGTTCCAAAGGAACGTTGGAAGCGAAAAACAGGACAGGGTTATAAGAGGTCAAAGTCCTCCGTCGGGCCGGGAACATTGCTGCTCTCAGCAGGCGTTGTTTGTGCAGCGCACACCCACCTACGTCTTGGGGGAGAGGGGTAGGGAGAGGGGTAGGGAGAGATGGGGCGAGGGGCCCCACTGAACGGGTGTCCCAAGTGGAATGTCCAGAGGCCCCAGGATTAGCATCTCACGAGCAGCAGTCGCGTGAATGCGGGGCCAAGACAACCAATCAGAGCACTGGGATAGGACGGGCCCCTGCTTGTCCAGTGCAAGATTTAGAAGGAAAAACAATCTCACTTGGGTGGGTGGCTGGTGGTGGTGGTGGGGAGGGGGAATTTATGGCACGGCGCTCAATTCGCGAGCAGGATTGTGTGATGAGGCCAACTGCAAGTGTCCTCCAGTTGCAGTTAATCTCTTCTGCCGTGTGAACTGCAGCGAGTGTAAAGGTGGTCATTTCCATATCTATAGCGATGCCGGGATATGGTAAATATAGTACGTAACGTGATATTTTCCGCAAAAACGTGTTCAGTCTGTTGCTACGCATATACCCTTTTGCATTATCAATGAGTCTATAATCAATGTTTTATCTCTCCAAAACAAATGTGTTACTAACCTGGAGAAAATTGCAAGAAGATTAAATAATGTTGAAGACGCAGCGTGTATATTGCACACTCTATTCATACAGTTCTATATCTGTATAACGCAAGATGAAATACACATCGGAGTCTATGTTTAGTACGTTTTCCTTTCATGCAGAAGCTGCTGCTGCTGCACAGTCTGCCCTTTGTCGGCAAATTTTCTTGACCAAGTTAGGTTTGCATAGTGGTGTGGCACAGGTGATGTTCACATTATCCGCTGTTGCCCAATAGCTGGTCACGCTATACCCATCGCACAGTAATTTTGGAAATGCATTCTTCCCATTGCGTCAGTCGTGCAAAAACCAGCCAGAGCCAGTCAGCGCCACTGGGCAGTTCGCTGTGCGGTTATAGTAGAGCCCCCCCCCCACCCGCCACAATCTGTTGGAAACCGGAACAAAGAAAATCGCAAAGTCTAAGCAGTGCCGGGCAGCTTGAAACAACAACAGGAAATGTTTCCACTTATTACGTAACATTGGACCTGTAAAGGAGACGTACATTAATTATCATGAGCGGTAAAAAAAGCTATCAGACACATTGGGCTTTTACAAGTTCTGCTTCTATATCTTGATTTGAAGCTTTCGTGACTGCAGGAATCCATACTCTTTGGTTCGTTCGGTAAAGTCGCGTAGGTAGACAAATAGAATGAAACTAAAAATGTCACGACGTTTCGATAGCAACACAAGCGGTCGTCCTCAGGCGGAAAAAATAATCTGCTTCTATATGTTTAGACTTTCCAAATAAACACATTGTGTGCCAACCAACGATACTTTGGACAACTTTGAATAATTGCAAAACATTATTGTTGCATTTTAAAAAAAATCAGTTACCATCCCGTAATTCATGTTTCAGCACCGTTACAACCACGCCCTCGAACGCTTGAGCCGTCCTGGCTTCAAGTAACACATGAAACACTCGGCGTGAAGGACTTTGACAATCACCGAACGATGCCCGTGCAAAAGTGCTCGAGGACACACATCGGGGTCAAAATATTCGAACCCGGTGGTGCATGGTCCAGCATTAATGTCAGCATCAAGTGCTTCTTGTGGGGTTTTTTTTCTCTCTCCCCCCTTGTCCTGTAATGACCTGTCTAAAACCTCGAGCCAAAAAACAAGTTCAGCCCACTCCACCGCCCCCCTCCATCACCGTTGCTTGAGGTTATATATTTATTATGTGTTCCAACAGAGCATGCAGGAAGTGCCAAGACACCCGAAGCTTCGCATCATTTACAGTGTGCAAAAACAGTAAGATTTGGTATCTTTTTTTGCGAGCTCCCCAAAAAAATATTCCAATATTGTTTTATTTTGCACGTGCTGTGTTGAATGCAGTTGTCAAACTTTATGCGGACTTCGTTCTAAATGAGCTTCGTTCCCAGAGGATTCGTTCACCGAGGTAATTACTATCTTTTGAATCGTAGATTCCTGTGAACATGCGTGGAAGGCAATATGATTTGAATGCAATTTGTATTCATCACGGCTTTAATTAAATTTGAGAATTATATGAAAGGGTCTTTCATGTCTGTTCTATCTTGGGTCACGTGCTTCGATAGTCATCTATTACAACAGCCACTAGAAAAGTTTCCACTTTACTACGCAATTAGTTTGAATGTAATTTTGTGCGTTTGCATATTTATGTACTTGTACGTTTGGAGTGTGCTGTATGTTTAATAAAATATTGCATTTTTTATTCATCAATATTGCTTTTTTCTTCTTGGTTCTTTCGGTAAAGTCACGTAGAAGGGAAGTAATAAAATAATACAAATAAAACATAATAAAATAATTCTCACGACGTTTCGGCTACAACGCAAGCAGCCGTCTTCAGGTGAAGAATGAGACACTACCATTCTTCACCTGAAGACGGCTGCTTGCGTTGTAGCCGAAACGTCGTGAGAATTATTTTATTTTATTATGTTTTATTTTTATTATTTTATTACTTCCCTTCTACGTGACTTTACCGAAAGAACCAAGAAGATGAATCCCTGCAGTCACGAAAGCTTTAAATCGAAATTTAATATTGCTTTTGATAAAAAAAAAGTTCCATCTTAGTTTCAAGTTCTCATGCCTGCTCTTTTATCATTTCACTTCCACATTTCTGTACAATGGTGCTGGGCTTGACTGTTCCAGACTGAACCTGTCTGTGCGCATCACCCAAAAAAATGCATAAGCAGCTTTACAACCGCAGCACCTCTCATCAGCACGGTTGGTTAATACCCCCAAATATATTCCGACCTGGTACTACTACATAGTAGAAATGTAAAGCATTGAAGGACATTGTTTAGGACATGATCACCATAATGAACAAACAGGGATCAATTACGGGCTCCTTTACAACTATGCTTGCTTTTCAGTTTGTGTCAATGTGCTGTTATATATGTCTGAGATACTCAAACAAATGCTTTCTATCGCTTTCAACATTCGCAGAGAATGGATAGTTGGCAGCCTGAAGGACCGTGACTATGCCAAATGCACCAGATAGCAGTTTCTCATTATTTAAGGGTACAAAGCACAACACGAGTCTCTACAAAATCAAGGATCAAATATGTTGGCTCAAGCTGCACTTGTTATTGTATTTGCATGGAAGCAACATGAGTAATGGATACTTGTGAGAACATATTGTAAAAGTACAGCATTCTATTTGCATGCACATAATGCTCACGGATGACGCGATGTACATGTTTGCATTATATATCTAAAACCATTTCAATCACAATGGTAAAGTACACCAACTAAACATGCTTTACAAAAGCATGTCTATTCCAGTATTTGCAACACACTGCACAACCCTTACATTCGGGAATCACAATAGGGAATGTTCCAGGTACTCTAGGCCACAAAAATAGCACACAATGACCTCTTATACGAAACTTTATCTCCAGTCGATTAAATAGAGTATGGTTCTATCAGCGTAACGCTGCCTTGTGTTAAAGCTGATAGGAGGGAGCTGGACAAGGTATTACGATGTGCAGCTATAAGGGGGGGGGACCCCGACCCTGCAAGTCAATGCCATGGCAATACCCCATGTACACTGAATGAAACAGTCCATGAGATGATAAAGAGATTAACAGCAAATTACAGCTGCTGAAACCATACATCAGCGCAGATGTTCTTCTCGGCAATTAAGAAGAACATCACCTAATGCAATTATGTGTATTGCGCTGTGATAAGCTCAAACTTTTAAACAACACTCCCCACACAAGAGCCTTGAATGTCCGGTAAACACATAATATGTAATTAATGAACCAAGTAGCTTTTGCTATTTTCTTTTTATACGTTACTTAAAAATGTATCCAATGGGGAAAACAGTTGGTTTTTCATTTGCTCTCGAAAATGAATGCAATGGCACTGTATAGATCCACGTATGCAAGCACTAACGTCTCATCGAAAGCACAACTTTCACAATATTGTAACTAGAGTACATTTACAACAGGGAGGCACATGGTTAACGATTAATACTGTACCCACACAGACATTATGATGATAATGAGCGTTGGGGATTCAGGAGTTCTACATTGACGAGTGTGCAACAAAGAACAGCTCATGTTTTATTTAAGCTCGAGTGCTCACACACGAAACAGGACACAGAGGGCTTGGCCGACCCCCTTCATGAAGCTGAAAGGCAAATGCTAGGTGGGTGAGACAACAAGCCGCTCTTCTGCCGGCTGGGAAACAGAGATCCCTTTTGAAAAACAACGAGTAGGCGCGGTGGTGGCGGCAGCAGCTTGCCCCTTTCAGCGATTGGTGTGCAAGGGAGGAGAGTCAAATGACGCTTGTTTTTCAGCTCTCTCGTCATGCGGGCGGATTGGGAAGGAGGGCTTCCGAAAGGGCAACGTGACGCTACAGCCCAGCCAATGGTTCTTAACCTAGTCCGGAGCAAGCAATTCTGTTGCTGGGGCAGTGTGTTAAATACACCGGTTCAAAACAGCTCCCGATGCTCACGGATAAAGGGATGTTTTTCTCTCCCGTAATGCTGCTGCCCCCCTCCCCCAAAAA